ACCCAGCTCTCTGTTTAAAGCGATGGAAGATGGTCCACATGCTCAGGCACCTGCACACACGTGAGAGACCTAGAAGCTCCTGGCTCCTGATCGGTCCAGCCGTTGCAGACATTTGGGGAGTGATCCAGCAGATGGAAGGCCTCTCTCTTTATCTCTCCCTCTCTAACTCTGCCTCTCAAATTAATAAATAAAATAAAAAAAATACAGTAAAAGAGGGCCGGCATTGTGACTTAACAGTTTAAGCCACCAGTTGCAACACCAGTATCCCGATGTGCCACAGCGCCAGCCCCTGCTGCTTCACTTCCGATCCAGCTCCCTGCTGATGCACCTGGGAAAGCAGTGGAGGATGGCCCATGTACTTGGGCCCCTGTACCCACGTGGGAGACCGGGATGAAGTTCCTGACTCCTGGCTTTGGCCTGGCCCAGCCCTGGCAGTTGCAGCCATTTGGGGAGTGAACAAACAATCTAACTCTACCTTTCAAAAAGAAAAAAAATCTAAAAAAAAAAGTTAAATAAAAGGAGCAGTCTCAAAATAATTATTTTGTTCACCTACCAGTGAATCTAAATCAGAGAGTATGTACAACATTCTAGGCTTCATATGTATGACATCATGGGCTTGATAAATGACTGCAGTGTTACAATCTAACAATCAAAGACCCCAAGCTGAAAAGAACTATACGGCAATATGGCAGCTCCTCTGGCCAGCACACGGTACTATCTTTTAATGCTAGGCATCAGAGCCACAGTGGTCAATGTGGCCCCCGTGCCTGCAGAGGCCTCCACACTGCTCACACATATTCTATGTTGAAGCAACATAGTTAGATATGTATAATGAAAACAGAGCCAAAACGAAAGCCTTGTACAAAAATGTTAAAGGTCTAAGGAGTCACAGGCAGAATAGTAAAAATGCCACAGATATCTACGGTTCTCTCGTGACACGAAACCCAATGCATACTTTTTGGTGTGTTTCTTAGTAACTCACTTTAGGCTTGCCTTTTGCAGCCCAACTGGTATGTGAACAGAGGCACTGAATTCACTGATTTCAGAGTGCTTCAGAAACTGCTGGGTAACACGCTCCACTGTGTGTCCTCAGTAGGGACAATGTCCATTCTCAGAGGCTGGGTATACCTGTTAGGGTGTAACAGGATTCAGCTCCCCAAACTCTGGTGTACATGCAAAACCCCAAGTTCTATGTCACTGGTTCACGGATTAATGGTTGGAGGATTAAGGGTGGAGGCTTGATCCAAGCCCAGTGCCTGAGGCGGGGCCTCTGGGAAGTGACTTGGGATTCAGTTGCTAGGCTGGAGTTGCCACCATCAAGTGATGAGGGCACTATCAAGGACGGACCACCCAGGGGAGGATGAAGTATATCTCCCCTGCCTCTCAGCTTCCTGTCATCATTCCTCTGCGCATGTTCCTCCTTGGCCATCCTTCAGCAGATTCCACACTAATGGGAACTTGGACTGTGACCCTCCAAACTCTAAGCTGATAAAAGTCTTCTTCCCTGCTGAGTGGTTCCTCTCAGGCATTTAGTTAAAGCAACGAAAAGCTAAGTAATTTGGATGAGTGGATGATTCATTTATGTAAAGCACTTGGGATAGTAGCTGACATGTAGCAAGAGCTTTATGTGTGTTCACTACTTTAATATGCTTTATTATTCTCATGGTATTTATCATAATCCGACCTGTGAAAGCCATGCATTTCTGACCCTCCCTTCAGAAAACATACTAGATTGTTAAGTTCTACATCTAGTTGACTATGTGCCCAAGACTATTTTTTTTTTAATATGGTATATCATGTAATCCTCACAAACCTTAAAGGTACTGTCATCATCAGCTAAAAAACCCACCACCTGAGGCCTGACAAGGTTAAAGACATCAGGCACAGTCGCACGTTTCCAGGCTTGTCCTTCAAGCCCCACACTGTCAGGATGGCGGGGCGGAGACAGTCTGGTGAACACGTCTGTTTACTAGCTGTTAGGCACAAGCTTTTACTGGGCAGGCAGAGGGGAGTAGCTCCCTCAGGGTAGCAATGCTAATTCTATAGGAAAAAGCAGATAGGGACTGTTAGGCTTTTCCAATCAACTTGAAGGTCACAGAGCCTAGAAGCCTTCCAGGTGGGCTTATGGGGCTGGGCCACACCTGGGAGCTGTTTACCTAGCTGACAATTACAAGGCCCCTCATCAGGAAGTGTGCCTTGGGGGGGAAATGTGCCCCGGGGCCCCTGCTGTCTGCCTGCAGTCAAGTCATATATGGGGGTCTCAGTCTGCTGAGCCCTTGACCTGGGTTTCTCCCACGGGACATGGTGTGCCATGCCCTCTTAACCCCCTGCATGGGCTAGGCAGGCACAGGATCACCCACATCTCCCCCCTCTGTTTTAGGACAGACAATATGGCCAAAATCTCAGCCAGTAGAGCAGCCTTTCTGCTGAGCATGGCATGGGGGAAAAAAAATCAATAAGCCACAACCCACAATAACCACCTCTGCAATAATCAACGCGTGAGATGTAAGCAAAACTTCACGGGTCCCCACCAGTCATCGCCCAGGCCCTGGGTCAAGGTGGTGACTACCAGGTCAGAACGCGGGTAGCATCAAGCTTTAGAATTTGTTGGGTTAAACTGAAGAGCGCCTGAGAAAACTGCCCATCCAAGAGCCCCGATGCAGGCTGACAAGGTATGGGACCAAGTTTCCCAGTCTAAGACAGGCACGCTGGAGACAGAACCATCTGTGAAGCCAACGTCACACTGGGGGTGCATGGTCTGCCAAAACAGTTCAATCTGTTTCTGATGTGAATCCAACCCCTGTTCTAAGGCCAGGATCGCTGTTTTGATCTGACCGGTGGCTTGGTTTTGGGTAAACAGGGGAGTGGCCGTTAGCTGAGTGACGTTGTTCACCGGTGCACTTTGGACTAGGGAAATGGTGGCGACAGCTGCACCAGCTACCGCAGCGACAATGGATGGGTATAACAGAGCGATGATCAGTCCAAGGGTCCTCTTAGTCCGCTCTACCAGCTGCCTGACTGCATCCTTGAAGGGCTGGTCCCAGGGTCCAGTCAGTTACTGTGTGCCCGGACAGAAAGACAAATCACTGGGCCCATCCTGGAACCCAGCCTGGTCACCGGCGGCCTGAGTTTAACATCAGGGCTGCACAGATCAGCACCACCAGCAGCGGGCCCATTGGACTAGGGGTCAGGGACAGGTGTTGGGCTTGGTCCACCAGACCCTTGAGGTCCTCCATGTCACCCGATGTTGGGAGGAGGCAGGCCTCTTCCTTGTCTCTTCATGGGTGGCTTGTTTAGGGAAAGGTGCTGAGGTTGGCTGTTAGAGGGTCAGCCTTTGGAGACTGGGGTCCAGGGTTTGACATTTCGGGCCGGTATACACACAGGCTGAGGAGCGATCTCTGGAAAGACTCAAGTGAAACCTCTTCCCATAGTTATAAGGGCATAGGGTAAATAGCTAATGTCAACCCAGATTCCAACCCCCTGGAACCACTCCCAAGGCACACTTAGCTGCTCCCTAAGGGCCATCTTACACACCCTGCCTGCCTTGTGGTGCCTCCTCACACCAGCTTCCCAGGGTCGCGTTACCACGTTGGGATTCTGAGTGTGTGTGTAGCCAGATGCCTAAGGGGGCTCCACACTCACTGACAACTGCTTCCACTTTTCCCAGCCAAGTGGAAGATCGTAAAAGGAACTTTAAAACAATTAATTCATGTATTTGAAAGGCAGAGTTACGGAGAGAGAGAGAGAGAGAGAGAGAGAGAGAGAGAGAGAGAGGTCTGCCACCTGCGGGTTCACTACCCAAATGGCTTCAATGGCTAAGGCTGGGCCAGGCTGAAGCCAGGAGCCTGGAGCTTCTGGGTCTCCCTAGTAGGTGCAGGGGCCCAAGGACTTGGATCATCTTCTACTGCTTCCCCAGGACATAGCAGAGAGCTGGATAGGAAGTGGAGCCTCTGGGACTCGAACCGGCGCACCACAATAATGGCCCCCAAAAGGGGTTTTATGGGTCCCACTCAAGGGCGGCTCCTACAAGGGGCAAGGCAGCCCGAGTAGAAAGTGGCGGAGGCACCGGCAGGGATACAGAAGGGGAGCTGTGGAGAGGGGCTCAGTAGGGGAATGTTCCAGAGGCCCACGGCTGTGCCCGTGATGCAGGCGCGGAGTTGTAGGGAGGCTTGGACATAACCGAAGTCACTATCTAGAGTGGACAAAGACGCCGAGGGGCCCGGCTGCACTGCTCAGCACGTCCACGCGGCCTGTTTGCAGATGGGGCCGGGCCAGAGGGGAGAGAATGTTCTTTATCAGCTGCCCACACGCTGTGAGGCCGATGGCCAGTGGCTTGTTGATGACCTGTCACGTACACCCAGCCAGTGCCCCTTCACCGCCTGGCCCAGCTGAACAGAAGTTGACAGTGCGTTGTTAAGTCACTGTTTTCAGTGGTCTGCGAGGGGAGCTGGCTGCCCCAGGCCACGCCCTTCAGCCCTCACTCCCCAGGCTGTGCCCCTCAGCCCCAGCTGCTCCTAGGCCACACCCCTTCAGCCCTGGCTGCCCCAGGCCAGGTCCTCAGCCCAGGCTCCCCCAGGCCACAACCCATCAGCCCTGGCTCCCTCAGGCCACGCCCTCTCAGCCTTGGCCTCTTCAACCCTGTGCTGCACCAGGTCTTGGACACTTCTCCCGGCTGCCTTGCTCTGACCTGTTCTATCCTCAGGCAACCACTGCAGCCTGTGGGGAGCCACAGCAGAGAGAGAGGCCCCTCACCCATGAAGGGGAAGGGAGGAAAAACACAAACACCCCCAAACAGGGAAAGGATCCATCTCATCACAAAGATGCATAGACTGTGTTCATTGCCCAGCAGAGAGCAGGCTGCAGGCAGAAACCACAGGGGTGCCCCGGCGCTGGGACAGGGGACGCTGCGTGCGGGCACATGGGCATAACCTTTATTCCACTTTTCTTCTCTTCAGTTCACATGCTTTAAAATGCGCAATCAATGCATACACAGCCGAGTGATTGCTCCACACATGCTTTACTGATAAGCAGGGCTGTACATCGGGCTGTCCGGGCCCGCGGGAGGACCTGGGCCCGCTAGCTCTTCACAGGATCCACGAGCTGACTGGACATTCCTTGTCCGGGTTCTCCAGCTCCACCACGGAGTAGCTGCAAGTGTTCTTGTGGAAGATCGTCTTGCACTTTGTGGTATCAAAACCTCCGGGGATGGCAGCACTGTCATCGAGAAAAACCAAGCCCTGTTAGGAAAAGACCCCCCCATGCCACCCCCACCCCAGCCCAGCCAGGGCCACACTACAGTGGATCCTCTCCCCCCACCTTGCAACCGCCATCATCAACGGGATGGCACCCTTTGCTGTCAGCCCCACAGCGTGGCCCCCGGGGCACCTGCACCTGCCCATTCTGCAGAGTCATACAAACCATCCCTGCCATCCATCGTGCAGTCCATCTGGCCTGCCCAGGATGGCCCGGAGTTCTGATAGCCCCAGAGGCAGGCCTGGGCTGCTCTGGGGCCAGGCAGGTGGCTCCAGCCTGGCTGTCCCTGGTGTCCCTGTTCAGGAAGTGGTCAGGTTGTCCCAAGCTTGGCAGGAAGGAAGTTAGAAGAGGAGCCATCTCAACCCACAGGAGCAAAGAGAGCCACTCCAGGCTGGGGTCATGGGGCCCAGGAAGGAGTTGATGAAGAATGGGGACCATCTCCTTCAGAATATTCACCCCCACATTCAGTGGGGCAAATAATTTGGGGGCCCATTGGTCCCTTGAAGCTCATGCGTAAACCCTAAGTTTAAACTGTCTCTGCCCAAAAGGTGCATACACACAGCCACTCCCCACCGCCCTCTGTGACAAAAGATGACCCTCACTTTCCTTTCAACTGGCCACCAACAAAGCCAGGGCCTTTCTTCTTTCTCAACTGCCTGACTCCTCCCAAGACACCTGAGGATGGCGCTCCCCCTGGGCCAGTGGTGTCAGGGCACTCGCACACCAATCTCCTGCTGGCTCGTGCTGTACGCGAGTGGAAGCAAGTGCTCGAGACTTGACTTCAGCGCTGGGGTTCAGCACTGAATCTGTTTGAAGACTAAGGAATGACTAGCTTGAAGTATAGGAGAATGTTTGCAAGAGTTTCGATGAGGTGTGAGAGTGTTACTGCTAGACTATTGCGTGGAAAACCCAGACTGCACAATTGCAACCTAGAGTTTGGTATCTGTCATGTAAAAAAAAATGTGTAGAAAGGAGTTGGGGGGCTGGCGTTGTGGCATAGCAGGTAAAGCCACCGCCTGCAGCGCCGGCATCCCATATGGGTGCCAGTTGGAGACCCGGCTGCTCCTCTTCCAATCCAGCACTCTGCTATGGCCTGGGAAAGCAGTACAAGATGGCCCAAGTCCTTGGGCCCCTGCACCCATGTGGGAGATGCGGAAGGAGCTCCTGGCTTCGGATCCGTGCAGCTGTGGCCATTGTGGCCATGTGGTGAGTGAACCAGTGGATGGAAGACCTCTCTCCCTCTCTCTCTCTTCCCCCTCTCCTCCCACCTGCCTCTCTGTGACTCTGCCTTACAAATAAATAAATAAATCTTTAAAAACAAAAAAGGGAGTTGGAAGGAAATCAGGATAAAATATTAATCGTTATTACCTTCAAGCAGTGGGATTATAAATATATTTTATTCCTATACTTTCCAATAGTGCTGTAATTACTATGTTTTATACTGAAAACTTGGGAAATTATTACTGAAACTTTTAATGTTAAAAATGGTTGTTTGGGCACCAGTGTTGTGGTGTAGAGGGTTAAACCACTACCTGTGATGCCAGTATCCCATGTGGGCACCAGTTCAAAGTCCTGGCTGCTCCACTTCCAATCCAGCTTCCTTCTAATGCACTTGGGAAAGCAGTGGAAGATGGCCCGAGAGCTGAAAGAAGCTCCTGGCTCCTGGCTTTGGTCTGGCCCAGCCTGGCTGCTGTGGCCATTTGGGGAGTGAACCACTGGATGGAAGATCTCTCTTGCTCTCTCTCTCCCTTTCTCTCTGTAACTGCCTTTCAAATACATAAATAACTTTTTTAAAAGAATGCTTACTGATAAAATTGAATCCAACAATATTTTAAGTTAAAAAATATGGTTGCTTACAGGATGGAATGTGAATGTCGTGACCACTGTGGAAAACAGATGGGCAGTTTCTCAAAGAGTTAAAAAGAAAATACACACTATGAGACCCAGCCACTCCACCCCAGGTATACGCCCCCAAAGAACTGACAGCAGGGACTCAACCATACTGTAGAGTAGCACACACTATAGCCAAGAGGTGCAGATAACCCACAGGTCCGTCAGCACAGAAACAGAAGTAAAATAGGTTATTCCTATAACACAAAATATTTTTCAGGCTCCAAAAGGAAGGGATTACTGAAAGAGGCTGCAACACGGATGAACTCTGCAAACGTGCTGCTGAGTGAAATACACAGAGTGCACAAAGATAAACGTTGTGAAATTCCATTTCCAAGAAAGATCTACACTAGGCACATCCACAGAGACAGTAGATTAGTTGTTCTCAGGGACTGGGGGAGGAGGAGGGGGAGGTAGGACTCCATACATGGGGAGTTTAGGTTTGGAGTCCCTGGAAAGTTCTAGAAATGGCGGTGATGGGTGCCTCTGGCTGTGCATGAACTTCACCGCCCTGAATTGTACACTTTGAAGCAGTGAAACTGGTAAATGTTTGGTCATATAGATTTTTACCACAATACAAAACATTAAAAAGGAAAGTGGTTGTTGTTCAAGAGATATTCTTATTTTTTTAAAAGTCTGTTGGTTTTCATCTACTTGAAAGGCAGAGCAACACAGAGAGAGAGGTTCCATCTGCTGATTCACTGCCCCAGATGCCCCCACAGCCAGATCTGGGCCAGGCCAAAGCCAGGGGCCTGGAACTCCATTTGGGTCTCTCACATGGGAGTCAGGACCCCAAGCACTTGCTCTGTTATCTGCTCTCTCCCAAGTGTACTGGAACTAGAGCAGCCAGGACTGGAAACAACACTCCAGTATGAAATGTGGGTGTCCCAAGTAGCAGTTTAACCTGCTGCATCTCAATGCTGGCCCCTAGGTGAGATTTTTTTTTTACAAGTTTTTAGTAGAAATTAAATTGTGTAATTCTGTTGTCTGTGTGCAGGTACAAGTTGCAGGGCAAAGGGCATATTACTGGATGCATATTTTCATTTAAATCTGACCCAATTCTGTAGCTGAAACAGCTAAAGAGAGAATGAGAAGGGAAAACTGGAACATTAGGGGTGTCTCAGCGCTGGGGGCTGGATGACCTTGGGCCTTTGCCTCCACAGCTCACTCCTTCACTGCGGTCAGAGAGCAGGGGCTGGGAGGTGGGGAGGCCAGGAGATCTCCCACCCCCTGATGGGGGCAGCCTCTGCCTGGGCCTCCAGCCCCAGGCTCCACTGCTACTGCCACTTGGAAATCTACCTGTGTCTCAAGTAAGGTGCAAGGATCCAGGAAATTCTCCCAAAGAAAGTTTAATCAAAATCTGTATTTTGCTCTGGTCAGGAGAGGGAGAGAGAGGAGTTCATGAGAAAAACGAACTTGGTAAGCAATGGAGCAATTCCAGGGAAGGGGTTGATTCTGAGCAGCAGAGAGAAGTGAGCATACTTCCTGTGGACAGGCAACATAGCAGCAGAGAGGGAGAGGGTACCCTCACCCCAACCACGTGCTAGTTGCCATTCCAGGCTCAGGGCGCTCAGAACTGACACAGAGAAGGCCTGACGTGTTTGCTGAGCAAATGGATTTTTATCTTTTGAGAGGCAGAGATATGGGGGGAGGGAGCGATTCCACCTGCTGGTTCACTTCCCAAATGCATGCAACAAGCCAGAGCTGAGTAAGCTCACTGAGACTCCTGCATCGAGGCTCCTCCCACCTCACTGCCTGGGGCAGCCCTGGTTGATTTCTACTCGGGGTCCATGGGAACCTTAGAAGAGGGTCCCATGGATGGGACGTGATGATACAGCACTGATGGGATGGGGATGCCACCACAGAGGTGCCCTCGGTGGGAGTAAGGCACAGTTCACCAGCCCTTAACCCAGCCAGGCACACCAGGGTCCTGCTGACCCTCGACACAAGGGCGAATTCAAGGTTCTGGGCCACAACATCAAGATTCAAATGGAACACACAGTGCCCCAGCCAGTAGATGCCTGGGAGCCTGCTCTGGGCGGGCAGCCAGCTGGAGGCCCGGTTCCATATGCCTTTTGTTCCAGTACGTACTTAGCATTGGCACCTGCTTCACAAATGTGAGTGGCACTTGCCAGCCACGCGAACTTCAATGAGATTCAAGTGTTCTGGTTTGGGTCAGAAGATCACTCCCCTACTCCCTGGAGTTGTCATCAGATTCTTGGAAGCCCTGGTTAAAATGCAGGTTCCTGGGCTGGTGCTGCAGCATAGTAGCCTAAACCTCTGCCTGTGGCGCCAGCATCCCATATGGACGTCAGTTCAAGTCCCTGCTGCTCCACTTCTGATCCAGCTCCCTGCTAATATGCCTGGGAAAGCAAAAGAAGGTGGCACTTGGACCCCTGCACCCATGTGGGAGACCTGGAAGAAGCTCCTGGCTCCTGGTTTCAGATCTGCCCAATCCTGGCCATTGTGGCCATCTGGGGAGTGAACCAGCGGATGGAAAACCTTTCATTCTGTCTCTCCTTCTCTCTGTCTGTAACTCCACCTCTCAAATAAATAAATAAAAATATTTTTTAGAAAATTCAGGTTCCATGGCTCTGGGGTAGGGCCCAGGAATCTGCATTTCACCTGGCCTCCCAGAGGACTCTGTGACCAGCAAGCGTGGGAAAGCTGCTTTACACACGTGCTCCCGTCAAGGCCACTTACGTGCTTGTGAAACACCATAGGCCAGAGCTGATGTGGATGGCAGATGGATTAGGGCAGGGGGCTAGGAGTAGGGTGGCTGGTGTGGACAGACCTGTGGGTATTTTGTGTTGTCTCCTCCCCAGTCTAGACTTTGGTGTCCACAGCACCCCAGCAGAACACATTTGCATGACCTTTGAGCTGACGTGGGTAGAACTCCCAGCAGCACAACATAGGGTTGACAGCACAAGGTACACACACTGCGCCCTCATTCCTTACACCTCACATCCAGCACCGCCTGCTCCTCCTAGTGGCCAAGGCCAAGGCTGCACCGATGGCTGGGCCAGCTTCTCCAATAACATCGACCACTGCATAGGCTTTCCTGTCTCCAAGAACCCCTCTGGATACAGAGATTTAAGGCTAATGATACTGTGGCCAGCGCTGTGCTGCAGCAGGGAGAAGTGACACCTGCATATGGGCATCTGGTTCAAGTTCCGGCTGTTCCTCTTCCCATCCAGCTCTCTGCTAATGGCCTAGGAAAGCAGCAGAAGATGACCTGAGTGCTTGGGAGACCCAGATGAAGTTCCAGACACCTGGTTTTGGCCTGGCCCAGCCCTTGATATTGTAATCATTTGGGGAGTGAACCAAGGGATGATTCTCTCTCTTTCTCTCTCTCTTCCCTCCTTTCTGTAACTCTGCCTCTCAAATAAATAAATATGATAATATAAATTATGTATTATGTATTTTATATTTTAATAAATATTTTTAAAAATATTTATTTATTTGAGAGGCAGAGAGAGACAGAGAGATCTTCCATCCATTGGTTCACTCCCCAAATGGCCGCAAGGGCTGGAGCTGGGCCAATCCAAAGCTAGGAACCAGGAGCTTCATTCAGGTCTCTCATGTGCGTGCAGGGGTCCAAGCACGTGGGTCATCCTCCACTACTTTCCCTGGCCATTAGCAGGAAGCTGGAACAGAAGTGTAATAGCTGGGACTTGAACTGGCGCTCATATGGAATGCCAGCATGGCAGGTGTAGACTTAACCTCCTACACCACAGTGTCAGCCCCAATAAATAAATCTTTTAAACAAAGAATAAGGAAACTGGGGTGGGCATTTGAGGGCTTAGTGGCTAATCGCACATTTGAGTAGTGGGTTGAAGGCAGCTCTGCTCTCAATTCCAGCTTCCCGAGAATGGACACCCTGGGAGACAGCAGCGGTGGCTCAAGTGGCTGAGCCTTGCCACCAACAAGGATTGGTTCCCACTCCCAGCATCTGTTGGCCTAATCCCAGACGTAGCAGACATCTGGGAAGTGAGCCAGCAGGCGGCAGCTCGCTCTGCCTGTCTCTCAAATAAATAAAACAGATACTTTTTAAAGAGAAGGCGTTGACCAAGTTCCAAAAGCAACATAAAGGAAATAAAACTGAAGCAGCCAAGTGTACACCAGCAGACGAATGGCTAAGCAAAATGTGCAGAATGAAGTGTTAGTCCACCTTCAAATAGGAAGGAAATTCTGATACCGGCCACAACATGGGTGAATTCGGAGGACACCACACTCTGTGAAGAAGCCAGTCTCAAGAGGACAAACACATGCATGATTCCACTTACATGTGGAGCCTGGAACAGTCAAATTCATAGAGACAGATGGTGTTTGCCAAGCCCCAAGGGCAGTGTTTTTTTTTAAATTTAAGATTTATTTTATTTATTTGAAAGACAGAGTTACAGAGAGGTAGAGAGAGAGAGAAAGATCTTCCATCCACTGGTTCACTCCCCAGATGGCCGGCCACAACCACCGGAGTTGCGCCAATCTGAAGCCAGGAGCCAGGATCCTCCTCCAGGTCTCCCACACGGGTGCAGGGCCCCTAGGACTTGGGCCATCTTCTACTGCTCTCCCAGGCCATAGCAGAGAGCTGGATTGCAAGAGGAGCAGCCCGAACTAGAACTTGCGCCTATATGGGATGCCAGCGCTTCAGGTCAGGGTGTTAACCCGCTGCAGCACAGCACCAGCCCCTGCGAGGGCAGTGTTGACTGGGTGCAGAATCCCAGTTCTTCAGGATGAAGGGCATGGCAGGGGGGTGGCAACCACATGAATTTATTTAACGCCACTGAAGTGTATACTTACAAATGGCTGAAACGGTACGTTTAATGTGCTACGTATTCCACCACAAGCCAAAGAAGGAAGAGAGGAGTGGGCATTCAGCCTAGTGGTTAAGATACCCCTGGGATTGCCTGCATTCCATGTTGGAGTCCCTGGGTTGGGGTCCCAGTTCAAGATTTCAGCTTCTTGCTAATACACACTCCGGGAAACAGCAAGTGAGAGCTCAAGTCCTTGGGTCCCCGCCACCCACATGGGAGTCTGGCAGACCTGGATTCAGTTCCTGGCTCCCTGACCCAGTCTTGGCAGGAAGGCATTTAGGGAGTGAACTGACACATGGGAGATCTCTCTCTCTGTCTCTCTCTCTCTGTTTCTCTCTCTCTGTGTGTGTGTGTGTGTAATTACATAAAGAATAAAAGAAATAGGACTGAAAATGACTTCCATCCCTCAACCCCCACCACCACATCAAGAGTGAATGTGAACTGTGGCCACTGGGTGACAAGGATGAGTCCATGTGAGGTCAGTCAGTAACCAATGCACCGCTGGTGGAAGACACTGCTAACAGGGAGACAGTGCATGTATGGGGGCAGAGGTGTATGAGAAATCGCTCTAGCTCTGCTCAATTTTGCTGGGAATCTAAGAGGCTCTTTAAAAATGCCTATAAAAAAGCCTATTTAAAACAAACAAGGATGCCCCAAAATAACACGGTTTTCAAAGAAGGAGCAGTGCTGTTCCTCTCTCCGTCACTACCCGCGTGACTCACGTGTTGCAGCAATGAATTCCAGTCTCATCACAACTACATGTGTAACAGTTCTCAGTCTTCCACTCCACGTTCAGCTTGTGTGTGACTCCATCAAGGTCCCTGCATTCTAAGACAACACAAGCGACGTCATCAGGAGCATTGGCGGGAGCAGGGCACATGAGGACAGGAAGGCCAGCCCCCTGCCGTGTGACCATGGTGTCCGGGAAAGGTGCTGCCATGCAGAACCTGCCGTTGGTGACGTTTTGTCACAAAGCTTGAATCCCTGCAGGTTTTATTTCCGGACAGACATTTGGAGATATAAAGCCCTCCTCTTTAATCAGACAGCTAGGACAAGCATGGGGCTCTGTGGGACCAAGTTCTCTCCTGCTGGCTTCTCTCTGCAGAAATACCTCAGCACAGCACCTCCCTATGTTTTGCATCGGCGGTCCCTAACCCTGGGTGAACATGTGACACATACTGGGCACTTCAAAGCCACCTACAGGGACCTGTGAGAGGCCGGCATCCCACATGGGTGCCACTTTGAGTCCCAGCTGCTCTACTTCCTACCCAGTGCCCTCCTAATGTGCTTGGGGAAGCAGTGGAAGATGGCTCAGTTAGTTGGGCCCCTGGCACTCAACATGGGGAAACTCAGAGAAGTAAACCAGTGGGTGGAACATCTCTCTCTCCCCACTCTCATACTTTCTCTCTGTCCCTTCCTCTCTTTCTGTAACTCTGCCTTTAAAATACATAAGATAATTTTTTTAAAATTGAACACTTGTAGGTGGGCATTTGGGCTATCTCAGGAGTGGACCAGTCAGGGTTTGGAAGCTCATTGTCTCCGTCTCTTTCTCTCCCTGTTCCATTTCCTATCAAATAAATAAAATAGATAATGGAAAATCTGAAATTTAAAAGCATTTACATCTGGGAGGGACCCACCCACCCCAGAACAAGGAAATCAGAGTCTCTGGGTGTGAAGCTCAGGCCACCACCACATGTTTAAGAAACTCCCCAGGGCTGGTGCTGTGGTGCCGTTAATGCCCTGGCCTGTGGTGGGTTAATGCCCTGGCCTGCAGTGCCGGCATCCCATATGGGCACCAGTTCGAGACCCAGCTGCTGCACTTTTGATCCAGCTCTCTGCTATGGCCTGGGAAAGCAGTAGAAGATGACCCAAGTCCTTGGGCCCCTGCACCCACATGGGAGACCTGGAAGAAGCTCCTGGCTCCTGACTTCAGTTCGGTACAGCTCTGGCCGTTGCGGCCACCTGGGGAGTGAACCAACAAATGGAAGACTCTCTCTCTCTCTCTCTCTCTCTACCTCTACCTCTCCTCTCCTCTCCTCTCTCTTTGTAACTCTGACTTTCAAATAAAATAAATAAATCTTTAAAAAAAAGAAAGAAACTCCCCAAGAATTCAAATGTTTAACCAAGGGTACAATCCTCTGCTTTGTGTCCATGTGGTCCCAGTGTCCCGGAAGGACCAGTTGCAACATCACCTGGGATGGCATGAGACGTGCAGACTCCCACATCTGCCTGCAGAGCCACTGACCCAGGGCTGTGCCCCACTTTACAGTCAAACAAGGAGCTTTTATTCTATTTTATTTTTGAGTGACATACGGTGCTCCCATCTGCTGATTCACTCCCTAAAGGCCCACAGCAACCTTGGTGTGGCCCAGGGCCAAAACTGGGAGCCCAGAACTCCATCCAGGTCTCCCACGTGAGCTTCAAGGACCCAGTGAATTGAGCCATCATGTGCTGCCTTCCCAGGACGCACAACAGCAGGAAGCTAGAATTGGGAGCAGAGCTGAGACTTGAACCCAGGCACTTTAGTATGGGATACGGGGTCCCAAGCCACAGTGTAACTATTAAGCCAAATGCTCACCCCATCAAGGAGCTTTTTTTCTTTCTTTCTTTCTTTTTTCTTTTTTTTTTTTTTTTTGACAGGCAGAGTGAACAGTGAGAGAGAGAGACAGAGAGAAAGGTCTTCCTTTGCTGTTGGTTCACCCTCCAATGGCCGGCGCGGCCGGCGCACTGCGGCTGGCGCACCGTGCTGATCCGAAGCCAGGAGCCAGGTACTTCCTCCTGGTCTCCCATGTGGGTCCAGGGCCCAAGGACTTGAGCCATCCTCCACTGCACTCCTGGGCCACAGCAGAGAGCTGGCCTGCAAGAGGGGCAACTGGGACAGAATCCGGCGCCCCGACTGGGACTAGAACCCGGTGTGCCGGTGCCACAGGAGGAGGATTAGCCTACTGAGCCGCGGCGCTGGCCCCATCAAGGAGCTTTTAATGTGTAGCTCAGAGCCCAGCGATTCTCATTTACCTACCTGGTCGTATATTGGAAGGGACTTGAGCGCTCGTAAGTTTCCAAAGAAGAAAAAAGTCAACTCTCACCCAGCTAGGGTTAAGTTGGAATCCTTTTGACACCATCTCTATATTTGCCCTGACCCTCTTTCTTATGCAGACTCAAAGGTGTTCAGCACCAGTGCACAGGTCACATCTCCCAGGCTGCAGTGACATAATCAACGCTGGAGAATGGGGACTCACCATCAGGGGGATCCTCCGGGTTCTTGTCGTAGAGTTTGACATAGCACTGCGTGTTGCACAACACCAAGAGGCTGGTGAAGACCACAAGGCTGCCCAGCAGAGTGTTCTGTAACATGAAGAGGAGTGAGGACGGAGCATGAATGAACCCAGAGGGTTGGGTCCTGGCAGGTGTGCGAAGATGGAGCTGCCACCCTCATGGAGCAAGACCTGTGCAAGTCCAGAGCATGAGCCAAAGAAAGACTGAGTTGTGAGTTCAAGGTCCTGGAGCTATGATGCCCATGTGCTACTTATCACAGAGCGGTCGGGGAAGCCTTTCTGGGTAGGGTCGTTTTTAGCAAGAATCTGCAAGAGAGAAGGGGTGGAAGAGTTTCAGGAAGAGATAAAGGGGAAGAAACTCTGGCTGGGGCTTTCTGGGGCCAGCTGGGTCAGCTGGGGGTCCCAGAGGAAAGACAGGTGCAAGCAAAGCTGTGAGCATGAGGATCAGATGATTTTTTTCATTTTCTAGATGACAAAGGTATCGCTGGCAACTGTATGAACAGACCAACCGATCTAGGCTGAAATCAAGGACAAGGAGAAGGATCAGGTTATGCTTGTCATCTTTCCTAGATAAACTACACAAACTAACTTTAAAATGGTAATTCCCAGGAATCTTCTAAAACAAAGATGGGGTGAGAGTACTTAAGAATATTTATTTGAAAGGCAGAGTGACAGAGAGAGAGAGAGAGAGAGAGAGAGAGAGAGAGAGAAAGATAGGGAGAGACCTTCCATCTGCTGGTTCACTCCTCACACGGCCCCAACAGCAGGGGCTGGGCCAGGCTGAAGCCAGGAGCCAGGAACTCCACCTGCGTCTCCCATATAGATGGCAGGAGCCCAAGTACCTGAGCCACCTTCCACTGCCTTCCCAGGAGCGTTAGCAGGGAGCTGGGTCAGAAACAGAGCAGCCTGGACCCGAGCCAGCACTGGACACAGGACGCTGGCCTGGTAATCCACAGTTGAATCCTCTTGTGCCACAACTCCCACCTCGTACTTTCTGTTTTTGCACTAAAGTTATGTGTTTTAAAGGCTTTATATGTAATGTTCACACATAAAAAAACTCGAAGTGCTTTTCTGTAATTGAAAAATACAAAGAATTAAAAAATAAGGCTTTCAACATTTGAAAAAAGTACAGATTGACAAAAACATGTGTAGTCTGTCATGAGAACTACACCAACAAATACAAACAGGATACATGACAGATTTATGCTGCAATAACTTAGGTTACAAAGTACATTAACTAAAATGCACAAACTTTTGTGCGTTCTAAACTACAGGATTTTTCTTCTTCTTTTGTTGTTGTTTCTGCAGAATCCTTAAAACCTGTGACACTTAAAAGTTGTTAGCCTGTGGCTGGCTCTGTGGCAAAGCAGGTAAAGCCACTGCCTGCAGTGCTGGCATCCCATATGGGGGCCGATTTGAGTGCCAGCGGCTCCACTTCTGATCCAGCTTTCTGCTGTGGCCTGGGAAAGCAGTACAAAATGGCCCATGTCCTTGGGTCCCTGCACCCACGTGAGAGACCTGGAAGAAGCTCCTGGTTCCCGGCTTCAGATCTACCCAGTTCCAGCCGTTGCAGCCTTTCGGGGGATGTACCAGTGGATAGAAGACCTCTCTTTCTCTCTCCCTCTCACTGTCTGTAACTTCCACCTCTCAAATAAATAAGTACATCTTTAAAAAATAAGGCATTTCACACCCATGCGTAGACACAAAGAAACATGATGAGCAAGCACGAGAAAAAGTTCAACTTACTGAAAACAAAAAAAAAAATGTAAAATGCGTATAAAATAGAGCCATAGTGGTATGGCAAGAATAACCATTTAATTTATAACACCCGGAGGGAAACAGACGCATGGTGAGATGTGAGAGGCACAAGGGCCAGTCGGCTGGAACAGTGGTTAGGGCACGCAATTTGAGAGCGTGCATCAAACTCCTTAACACGGTTTACAATGCCAATCTTCACTTCTTCACTTCCCAGACTTGATCTTCAGAAAAGACTCCTCCCCATAGCAGTGGGAAATGGAAAAACACCACTCGCCCAAGAACAGAGCTGGTTCAGAACCAGGGATGATTCAGAAAAGCACCTGGCAAGTGGGCGGGGCTGGTGGTGGCAGGACCTGGGGCACTCAGGGAGATGAAGACTTTGCAGGATGTGACTCCTGGGGGTGCTGGAGATGCACGAGACTGAATGACAGTGACCCACGCGAGATCACCTTACTAAGAGGGTGCATTACCCAGGTGACAGTGTCTCAGAAACAGCCCGCTCCCCGGCCCCACCCAAAAGTTAGTTTGTCTTGCGTGCATGCTATGCTTTGAATGCCGTCACCCAAACTCCTGTAACAATTCAACCCAGATGGGAAGGCACTAACAGGTGGGAACCCACCCGAAGGTGATTAGGTCATGTGGGTGGAGCATTCATGAGTTCACGGACTAAGGGATCTGGGGGCTGGCACTGTGGTGCAGTAAGTTAAGGTGTTATTTGGGACATCCTCTATCAGAGTGCTGGTTCGAATCCCAGCTGCTCCACTTTTGATCCACCTCCCTGCTAATGTGCCTGGGTTCCTGCCACCCACATAGGTAGACCTAGATGAAGCTCCAGGCTCCTGGCTTTGCCTGGCCCAGCCTTGCCTGCTGCAGATATTTGGAGAGTGAGCTCTTTCTGTCTCTCCACTTCTCTCTGTCACTCTGCCTTTCAAATTAATAAGATAGGAGCCGGTGTTGTGGGGCAGGGGGTTAAGCCTCTACCTGCAATACTGGCATCACACAGGGGCATGGTTTGAGTCCCAGCTGCTCCCCTTCCAATCCATCTCCCTGCTAATGTGCTTGGGAAAGCAGCAGAGGGTGGCCCTTCAAGTAGTTGGGCACCTGCCATTCAATGGGAGAGCCAGATGAAGTTCCAGACTTCTGGCTTCAGCCTGGCCCAGTCCCTTTAGGGAGTGAAACAGCAGATGAAAGATTCTCTCTCTCTCTCCCTCTCCCTCTCTCTCTCTGTAGACCTTGACCTTTAAAATAAGTAAATAAATGTTAAAAAACAAAAACCCTGTTTTCACTGCAGACCAATTACATCCGAGTGTCTGGGAGCTCCTGTCAGTATTTTGTTTTTTTTTTTTTTTTTAGGGCCTGCGTTGGAGTCACTCACATGGAGCATAGACCTCTTTAATCTGGCAAGGAATGACTTTTTTTTTTTTGGACAGGCAGAGTGGACTGCAGTGAGAGAGAGAGACAGAGAGAAAGGTCTTCCTTTTGCCGTTGGTTCACCCTCCAATGGCCGCCGTGGCTGGCGCACTGTGGCCGGTGCACCACACTGATCCGAAGGCAGGAGCCAGGTGCTTCTCCTGGTCTCCCATGGGGTGCAGGGCCCAAGCACTTGGGCCATCCTCCACTGCACTCCCGGGCCACAGCAGAGAGCTGGCCTGGAAGAGGGGCAACCGGGACAGAATCCAGCACCCCGACCGGGACTAGAACCCAGTGTGCTGGCGCCGCTAGGTGGAGGACTAGCCTACTGAGCCGCGGCGCCAGCCCTGTCAGTATTTTTTGAGGTTTCCCAGGCGATCCTGCTGCAGAGAGCAACCCCTGGCTTTGCACTCAGCTCCCCTATAGGCTTGTAGTCTCTTCCAGTCCCCAGGCTCAGTTTATCTATAAAATGGTGCAATGATTGGTCCGGCATTGCATTCCATCTCACCAGCCACTCAAATAGGCCCCAAGAATCAGAGACACCAGAGACCTCACTGAACCCCAGAGTTTCTAGAGCAACTCAGATCTTAGGGAACTCGTTAGGATTTCCCAGAGTCCCCAGACCCTTTTTCTACTCTACACGTTGAACTGCAAGTCACATGCGGAAGATTCCTAACTAGGTCCACTCACCATTAAATGCACCCCGTGAGCTCCAGTACAAGTAGAAGTGAAATAAGGAAGACACTTCCCCCCTCCTTTCTGGTCTCTATGTACCCACTCAGTTACCTACCATTGTGGTGAGCAGGGTTCCTTACAGACAGGTGCATCCAAGACAAGTCAGGCCACACTTTTATATAGGAAGGGACAATTACACACACACACACACACACCCACACACACACCCGCCGCCCCGCCACCAGCACCACGCAACATCATTCAAGAAAGTAACACGCCAAGAACACCTCAAGTGTTTGCAGAGGGCTGCGTTCAGCTGAGTTACGATGATTCATAAAGCAAGCCTCCACCCCAAATAAGTGTTTACCTTTGTCCCCACCCCAACTGCATTTCCCCTTGACCTGAAAGGGTGGGGGAGGAGAGCACTGCCCTTCACAGAGCCGCCACTCTGTGCTGGACATGTGACACCTTCTTACTTGATTTTCTTATTTGATTTTTTTTTTTTTGGACAGGCAGAGTTAGACAGTGAGAGAGAGAGAGAGAGACAGAGAGAAAGGTCTTCCTTTCTCCGCTGGTTCACCCCCCAAATGGCTGCTACTGCTGGTGCGCTGTGCTGATCTGAAGCCAGGAGCCAGGTGCTTCTTCCTGGTCTCCCATGCAGGTGCAGGGCCCAAGCACTGGGGCATCCTCCACTGCACTCCCGGGCCACAGCAGAGAGCTGGACTGGAAGAGGAGCAAGAACAGCCCAAGGGATCAGCCCTGCCCCCCACCCCGGCCCACCAGGCCTGGAGCTGTGGCCCAGCTGGCACCACCTTTAGAGTGTGGCAGGAGAGAGCAGCAGTGTTCCAATCCATCACCCTTGGCCTGGGAGCACAGCTTCCCCTTGACAAGCCATGTGGCTCTGTCCACTTGACTTTGACTTTTCTAAAGTTCAGGTTCCTAAAGTCCACTTGAACTTTCTAAAGCTCTTGTTGAGTCTTCTTTTTTTTTTAATTATTATTTTTAATTTACTTGATAAGCAGAGTTACAGAGAGGAGAAAGAGATTTTCCATGTGCTGGTTCACTCCCCCAAATGATCACACAATTGGGACTGGGCCAGGTCAAAGCCAGGAGCCTAGAACTCCACCTGGGCCTCCCATGTGGGTGGCAGGGGCCCAGCCCTTTCCAGGTGCATCAGCAGGGAGCTGGACCAGAAGTGGAGAAGCTGGGATTTGAACCAGTGCCCCTATGTGATGCTGGCGTCACAGGCAGCAGCTTTGATGCTGAGCCACAATGCTGGCCCAGAGTCTTCAGTCTTGGCTCCCTGCTGTGTCATCCCAGCCTTCTTTTGAGCTGCTCAAGAATGATCTCCTTTGAAGAATCCCTGCTCACCCTCAGGATGGCCTTTCAGGAGTGGCGACAGGCAGAACTACCTGGTGTATTAGCTATGCATTGCTCAGGCTGCCGGGACAGAATAGAATGGACTAGGCGGCTTGCACCACAGTCATTTATTTGCTCATGATTTTGGGGACTGGAAATCAATCCAGAGTCAGGCAGTGAGGCAGATGCGGGTCCTTCAGGGGGCTCTGTTCTTGTTTTTTTAATAAAATTCCAGCAGGTTCTGTTGTGT